CAACCTATCTACAAGAGTACATCTCTTGTCCTACCATGCTATTTCATCACACATTCTCACTGCCAGTGTAGAACATCAAGGCAGCATGAAATTTCCAAATTATCAATCCCATTACCAAGAAAAGGAAACCAAAAAGCAAAGAGAGATGCAACTGATCCCCCATTTTTCTCATTCCTTGATCAAATTCTAATACATCAAAGCACCAGCTAGATGATAGTGATAATTTAATAAGAGATAGGATCCTAAACTCATTTGAGACTTTGTTTAAGTTGATCCCAACTCAATTAATTATTGGATACTTGGAAAAGATACTAAACTCTGAGCAAATAAACACTGAGTTCAGGACCTCCAGACCCATCAGGATTCATCATGTAAAAGGCCTCTGAGTCTTTGGACCCCACAACCCTCTCAAACCTGGCTCTCATGTACATGAGCTCGCCCTCGGACCCAACTCCATCGACGTCTCCATTGCACGGTAGCACGCCAGCACCCATTGAAATCGGCTCAAGAGCCTTCAACACCTTCCATTCCTCTGGTCCACACTCACGCCTCATTGCATAGCCGCATTTCTTCCCGTTGCAGTATGTCCTCCAAAGAGGCTCTTCCAGCAGCTTCAGGCCTTTCTTCTCTGTCTTTTTCTCACATTCCAGGGCAATCCTTACCAAACCAGAAGCCATTTCCCGAACCAGAACGCTAGTTGGTGTCGCAAGTTCGATTAGGAATGCTGGACACAGCTTTGCATCGTCCTGGAATGCCAAATGGACATGGCCACGCCGGTAACCAAAAAGGGTGCCGATGACTTTGGTGCCTAAACCTGAGCGGCAGGCTGATCGGTTTTTGCCAAAGACAGCAAGAGCAGATCGGAGCTTAGAAACAGCCACAGCTGGGAGTTTTTTTCTGGATGCCCTGGCTGAAGGAACTTCTGCAGGCACCTGGATTGTAAGCTGGTCTTCCTTCTCCTCCTCCCAGAAGTGTGAGGAGCTGAAGGTCAAGATTTCTTCCTCATTATTGTCATCTTCGAACTTCTTTTTCCAGTTGAAATACCTTCTGGAGAAAGAAAAAGAAGAGTCATGGGAGTTCTTAGCTGTGATTGTCTTCATCTGGGACAGCAAAACAGAGACAATTACAGAAAGAAGAAAGCCAAGACTAAGGAGAGAAAGAAGAAAGGATAAAAGAGATTTTGTCTCTGTTTCCTTGGTCCTTCTATATAGTGGTTATGTGGGGTGGATTTATTCGTTGCTTCTATTGCCTTTTCCGTCAGAGAATCCTGAAGAAAAGGAAGGTGAACAGCCTCACCTAACTGATCTAAAACAGGAACAAAGAAAAGAGAGGGAATTGCTGAGGGACAAAAAACTGGGGTGGAAATGGACAAGACAGGGGATATGAAATGGAATTTGAGAGAAGTGGGAATCTGAGGAAACAATGGGTTGTGTTATTTGTTTGTGTTGTGGGGGCTGAAACGAGAAATAAGGAGAGTGTGTGGGGTACAGACTACATAGAGAAAGCGAGCCTTGACTGAATGCCTGGTCTAACTGGCATTGGAAAGAGTTAAGGGCAGGTATAGCCCACACCAACCGTAACCACCAGGACCATCCCAATTCCCAATTCCCAATTACGCAATGCTGCCCTTTAGTCCTTTAATGCTCCTCCAAGCACCCACCCAAGAACCGATCAAGCCCCATTGCACTCATAACGAAGCCAACTTTAGCCATCATAGTGCTTTTCAATTTTCATCATTATCTCATCCTTCTACTTTTTTGTGTTATCTTCGGGGGTTGAGAGAATGATTAATCTGATCGACACAGCTAATCCTGCACAAGAAGTCTGGTGTGGAGAAGGTTCTGGAAGACAGCTCTTTACACCGTGGAATCCATAACCAACGTTTAAGCAGCATCCGTAAATAAGAGAAACAAGGTAAAGAATACGAAGAAAAATAATTAGTCGAGTTGCTCAAACAACCCCCTCCAAGTAAAATTACATTCATTACGTGCTATTATTTGCTTAGAAAGGAATGAACCTAAGTTTCAATAAAGGGTAATTACATGTATAGTTCTAACTTTCCTATACGGGATTACAAATTACATAATTAGGGACCTAACCAAACCATTCTAAAAGGTTGAGGGCCACACGCATAATTTACCCCTTAAGAAACCTTTCAGTGGGGTCTAATTGGAAATTTATTTCCAACAAGGGGGAGGGGGAAGGGGGGGGGGGTGCCAAACTAGAACTATTACTAAAAAGTAATGAGCTCAGCTTCCTGCAGGGATGTTAAAATAAGAAAGAAGATCCAATAAAACCCATGAAGTCACCCAAATTATTGTGAACAGTCTTCCCAAGGAAGTAGCAATGTCAAAAAGTAGACGAATAATCATGAATATAACCCCATCGAGCCGATAAACTTCCAGCAAAGGAATGAGCTAGATTGGGCAAAATTATCTGCTTAATGTTTGACAATTTGAGCGTGGCAGATCCCTAGGTTAAGACTAATTCGACAATTTTGTCTCACTTACCTCCATATGCCCCACATGCGCCGCAGACCATCCTTAGAGTCAAACCTGGTTGAATTTTCAGACAAAGCATGATTAAGTCCATCAATCCACATGGAAGTAGTTACAGAAAAATCATATGTGTAGGCATTTTTTAAGTCATGGGACCGACCAAACCAAATCCACTGATCAACTAACAATCGTCGGTAAACCAGAAGTAAACTATTAAACCATATAACATATTCAGATGTACAAACTAATTATAAGTTTGTTATGAAGATGCCATCTTATTTCAGTGCAGCTTGTAAAGAGATGCCGAGGATGCAAAGTCAAAGTTGTTAGTTGTAAGAGTTGATTAAAATGGAAGATTAAGAGTTCTAGTTTCTTTACTTTCTAAATGAATGTTTAAGTACAGAGAGTTAGTGCATAAACTTCTACCACATGTGATGTGTAGATAACCAACCAAGACATATTCAGCATAAACAAAATATTTCTCCCAAAAAAGTTATTTTTTTGTTTGGTAGAGAAGAACCGAGGGGAGACCTCAGAAAGCCTGGTACAGAGATCCAAGTATTCTTTGATCAGGACCTATATGCAAATATATTGACCTAGTTAACACAGGAAATTTTATTCCATCTAGAATTGACACTCTGACAGTACTTAAAAGGGGAGAATCACTTAGGCTGGCTTGATTACTAGCTTCTATCTTTGTTACCAGAGACACTGTAGCCATGTGAGTTCGTTCACATGTAACCCTACTGGTGGTAAGACTGACTCCAATACCTGTAGATGGTCATGTATGAACCATGCCCCTAATAACTACAGAGGAAAATCATAAACTGTAATGTGATTGGTACCTAGGAAGAGAAAACTGGGGTAACCTAAGAAGCAGCCTAGCGATCTTTATTCTACATTTCATAGATTGGTACATTAATCTCAGGAAGTTTACCACTCATTTCCTTAAAATTGGTCGTGGCTCCTAATTTATAGTTTCTGCTACACCATTCCCACGATAAGCTACTATCAACCCTGAAGCAGAACCTTGCCTAAGGTGCCTTCTAAATCTGATTACACATTACTGAACCTCTATAACAAATTCAAGCAGGAAAATTTCAGACCATTACCACAGTAAAAAAAGAGAAGTAAGAAGAAGAGGATGCGTAGACTAAAATATATACTGGCACTTTACCTGGATGGATTAGACAAATTACCCACGGAAAAAGTGAATGGTAAGTTATTTTGACTCACAACAGAAGAGAAATACTTTCATGTTCGATAATCATTGTCAAGCAGAATGACTAGATGACCTACAAGGTCTGACAATTGTCCTTGTGTTGTGTGGTATGCACTTCTCAAATATTGAAGAACAGGTGGGTCCCTTTGCATATTTCAGAATTCAAACCTTCCTGCTACCAACAAAGGCCTAGCTAACAGTAGCTTTGGAATTCTTCGAAGTATTTGTCGACGAGTCCGGCACTAGCAGCCCAACTGAGCTGGCAACGTGCAGTAAAAATTTTGGTCCATGCTAAAGTTTGACTCCTTATGCATACAGTTGTAATATTTCTCTCTTCTTTCAAAATTGTTCCTTTTCAATATATATATATATATTGAAGAGCCCAAGCTACTGTTGCAATGAATTGCGTGTGTAACGAGACAGCAAATACCAAAACAAGCAAGGTGACCCCATTAAATTCAAGTTGAAGTTTTTTCTGATATATTACCTAAGTATGCAAGGGTGTCTGGAGGTTTCAAACTTCTTGTTTCTGTTAACTCTAGCAGTGCTATTAGTCCAAACGAAATAAGCTAAGTACCTTAATTCATGAGAAGATGGGCAATAATTTAGGATGATAGTCATCTAAACAATGGATTTAGAATTACTGCATAGAGAGATTGAAGATTGACAAACCATATAACTCAAAGGCTCAAAGCTGACTCACCATCTCAAAACACTTCTAGTGTTTACAAGAGAAAGACTTTTTGTCTTGGAGCTCTGTCAGGTATTGGATAATAATTTATACTGATGTTAGTCAAATATAGACAGAACAGAACGATGACAGATCAAAATCAGAAAGATCATGAATGGCTAACTATAATTTATGTTGCAAACTTGCAATAACTATTCTAAGCTAAAAAGACTAATATGTCAGGAAAACATGGAGAAGAAGGACTACAAAACCTTGCATTGCATCTTGGGCACAAAAGCTGCCGCTAACCAAACCTCTATTTGCTGGTCAAGCCATAATTTTAGTGAATGACAATGCTAATGCATAAACAGGGATAAACATACAAAAGGGTGGATCAAGAAAAAATTCCCCATGAATGCATTTATAGACACATTTATTTCAGATAAATTGTGACCAAATACAGAAACACTAAACAAGTAGATGACTGAACACATCTGAATTAAAGGTGCCCAAAAGATGGCCAATATCAAAACTTGAGGTATCAAAGGACAAAGGTAAAGAAAAATATAAAATGGAAATGCCAAATGATGTAAAGAATTTGTACCATGAATGTAAAGAAGAAAATGCAATAAATCATGAAAGTATTAGTAGACTTGGTAGAAAATCACTGATTTTAACATCTAAAGTGAAGGTAGAAAATCACTGCCTACAAAAGGCTGTGTTTGAGAACATTGAAAAATCCTTTTCTAATTCTTTTCATTGTTCAATAAGAGTTCATAAAAAAATTTGCTCCAAATGGTAATTTGCTTTAAAGATCTTTTTCCTTTAAATTTAAGTAGGAATACTACAGCATTCAGTATCTCCAACTAAAGGAAACATGTATCAATTGATTTAACCATGACGTAACCAAATGACCCAATGCGCAAATTTTCCATTGAGAATTGACTAATCTTCCCAACTTGTGAAAAACAATATATACTATTTGTTGTCTGAATTAACTAATCAATGCAGATTGCAGGTTAACCATAATGAGAATAAAGAATTTATGTTCAATTGTTCATGCATCACTTGTAGTTCAGCTAATTGCATCTCTAAGTTATGTTGACTGTTGAGGTAATTTAATAAACCATTCTTCATCCTAAGAAGACTTTTCTCAGCCGGAATTAGATCAATCTATGAAGAGATAAGAAAATCAGATATAATCCTAACATGAAACAGACTAAACTGATAACTAGAACATGGTACTGTTCCATTAATAGCCAATTTGAAGACTCCGCATCAATATCAAATTCAAGATACACTAAAAACAATCCAAAACAGAGCGTTGGAATGGAGAATATTTGAAACCAAAATGAGGTAGAATAGAACATAGTGTAGTAAATTACTATTTATTCAGTGGGAAAAGGATTGAATCCGCTGCGCACCATTTCCTCCAGTGGCAGGAATAAAGGTTCCGGAAGCTTATCCCACTCATACCAATCCCAACCGTCGCACTTCTCGGGCTCAAGATTTTGCGGCACTTGACTGGTATCGGCCAAAACAGCTCGCAGATAGATAGTAACGTAATGTGCTGGTTTCGGTATCTCCCTGAAGATTGTGTTGGTGACTGTTAGGTACTCTGGTTTCTCAATGTCCAGTCCAGTTTCCTCCTTCAACTCTCTGGCGGCACATTCCTCGAAGCTCTCCCCTACAAACAAACAGATCAAAATCAGAGCGCTACCGGTGCTCCCCGCTGTAGGCACACCTAGGCTTTTCTTTCAGGCGCAAGGGGTACAGCTCATTAATTGAGGTGCGTAGAGAGAGATTCACCTACCAAACTCGAGGTGGCCACCGGGGAGAGCATAGGTGGAGTGGCCGATGGTGCCCCGACGCCGCCCTAACAGCACTGATTTCCCCTTTAGGAGGATCAACACCACCCCGACTCTTGGAGCCGGCTTCGGTTCCGCTACCACCACATTATTTTCCATTCCTTTTGAACCTTGAATTACCCCTTCTCCCTCTGCTCCCGGCGCTGCAGTTTACCCCGATTGAAGCACGGCTAAAAGAGTAAAGATGCTCTTCAAGTATTTTATATTTCACCCTCGTAGACCATGGCAACGACGACGTTCTTTCCTTTTGACTCTTTGTATTCCCGCCAGCAGTGAGACACACTAACTTGTGCAAATAATTTGTTGTACCCGTCGGACAAATTAAATTGTGCCACGTCACAAACTTTTACGGGTAAGACATCGTCTGGGGATGTTGCTTGCTGTAATTGGTATTCTTGCACTTCGTGCAGTGATGACTAGATTGGGAGAGACCAAAAGCTATGCCTGCTTCCTGCAAATATAACATAATGTTTTCAAACAACTTAATAGTTATCATATATGAAAATAGATAAATTAAACAATCATACAGTATTTTGTTTGATTCTGATAATTATTTGTGTAATTATAATATAATTTGTAATTGTGTTGATACTTGTTATTATGTTAATAATTTTTTAAATCAAAACTTATAAATCCTTAAAAAAATTTAAATTTTAATTGTTAGTAATGATTTACTTCTACACTTCTATTTTATATTGATTTACAAGTTTCCACACCGATTAAAAATTTAGAGCAGCACCGAATCCTTTGGACCAAGTGGCAATAGCCACCCATAATGCATTCTCCTCCCCCAGGGCTGGAGTTCGAACCCAGCCCTTTGTAAAATCTGTTAAAAAAAAAAAAAAAATTTAGAGCATAACATTACTAGTACTCATTTCCTCTAAATAATGGTTTGTGCTACGCCATTTCCCCCAATGAGCTACTGCTAATCCTGAAGCAGATCATTCTCTTCTAAATCTGATTACACATTACTGAACCTCTATAAAAAATTCAAGCAGAAAAAATTCAGACCATTATTACAGTAAAAAGGAGCAATGCAAAGAAGAGAATGCATAGACTCAGATACTGGGGTTTTACCTGGATGAATTAGACAGATTAACCACTGAAAAAGTGAATGGGAAGTTATTTTGACTCACAATGGAAAAGAAATGGTTTCATGTTCGATAATCACTGTCAAGCAGAATGACCAGAAATTAAAATATTTTAATTATTATTATTCTAAATTTATTAAAAATATTTTAATTATTTTAATATTTAAATTCTAATTTTAAAAATTAAAATAGTAAAATCTAACTTAAAAAATGCTTTTTTGTTGTAATAATTCATTCATTTTATAAAAGAATTTTAAAAACAAATGGTTGGATTACGTTTTAAGTGATTTAACTTTATTATTTTTGATAAGGTGAAATTAATTAGGGGAAGGATATGTCACTACAAGGATTTGAACCATCGTGTGAAGTTTGAACCATGGCTTTGCTGCACCGTACCAACGCAGCTATTGCAGGGTGCACATTGTCACGATTTTGATTCATTTATTTGTTAGTTGTACCAACAGAAACATGAAAATTTTAACAATTATATAAGTATAAAGAAGAAATGTATTTCAGCTCTGATTTTTTTTTTAAATTTAAATTTAAAATTTAAATTATATCATTTTATTTAATTCGAATTTTATTTAAAATTTTAAAATTTATCTTATTAGATATTGATATGTAAATTTAAAAATTAATTAAATTTTTAAATTTTAAATTGAGATTTTAATTTATAAATATAGATTGAAACTTTAATTTTTTTAAAAGTTAAGATTGATATGTATTAATATTTAATTATAATATATTTTTATATAATTAAATGTTTATAATACTATAAATAAGTATAAAATAAAAAATTAATTGTATTATAATATATTATGATAATAAATTTATAATATTATTTTTTCAAAAACATAAAAATTATTACATTATTGTAAATTTTATATTATTATTTATCATCCTAATTACATTATTTTCAAGTTTTTAAACACGCAGCAGGATCAGTATGACCAAAATGGCAAAAAGGAGACCAGGAAACACCATAGCTAATGGCCATGGCCCGCGGAAAAAAATGAAAAAAAAATTTCAACCATCACCGCAACTAACGATACGCGTCAACGAATCGTTGGAAGCATATACGGTAAAAAAGTGTAGGGCCCACGATTAACAGAAATTTCGCACGATATGGTGACTCCGAGTCTCCGACTCTCCTTCACCAATCACCACCCCGACCTCTTCGCTCTGCACCTCACTCACACACTCACTCTCGTAAAAGCTCTGAAACCTCCATTCCTCTATCTCTCTTTAAACACGAACAAATCGTGTCTGCAGACACATTTCATCATACAATGACGGATACAACAGACGATATAGCGGAGGAAATCTCGTTCCAGAGCTTCGATGATGACTGTAAGTTGCTCGGAAATCTGCTCAACGACGTGTTGCAGAGGGAAGTCGGTAGCCAATTCATGGAGAAGCTCGAGAGGAATCGAGTCCTCGCTCAGGTTTCGTTTCTCTCTTAATCAATCTCCGCCTCTCGCTGCTTATCTCTCTTCTTCCGGCTTCTCTGAGACAGTGTCCTTATCAGGAAATATGGTCATTCTGGAAATTTGTCTTGATTTGTTTTTATGACTTAGTAGAATGGATAGATTGTTTTGTTGTTCCGATTCTTCATGTTCCTCATCAATGTATATATATATATTTTTTTTCAAAATATGTTGTTTGGATCCTACTGTATGATTGAGAAAATAGAGAAAATAAGACTGGAAAAAGAGCGATTAATAATAAAATTAGATTCAAATCAAGGCAAATGGCCATTTATCCTTTTATCAATGTTTCGAGTGTTTTCTTTTCTTTTGGACTCGATTCATTATTATTTTTTTTCCTGTATTTTGCCAGCAAGGAACAGAGGTATAAGATTTTGAGAATGATTTTTTAAAACTCTTTTCATGTTTCAGAGTGCTTGCAATATGCGGCAGGCTGGGATAGAGGATACAGCAGAGCTGCTAGAGAAACAGCTGATTACAGAGATATCAAACATGACATTAGAGGAAGCTTTGACACTGGCTCGGGCATTCAGTCATTATCTCAATTTGATGGGAATTGCTGAAACTCATCACCGGTGATGGTTCTGCTTATCAGTTTACTGTCTAAAGAAATATGTATTATATATATATATATATATTTTCTGGCTTAAGTGGTATTACTTGATAATGATGCAGGGTTCGTAAGGTACGAAGTGTTACACATCTGTCAAAATC